AGTGGCGAGAAGCTGAGATCGAGTGGAGAGAACCTGAGATCGAGTGGCGAGAAGCTGAGATCGAGTGGTGAGAAGCTGAGATCGAGTGGAGAGAAGCTGGGAACCAGTGGAGAGAAGCTGGGATCAAGCAGAGAGAAGCTGAGGTTGAGTGGAGAAAAGCTGGGGTCAAGTGCGGAGAACCTGAGATCTAGTGAGAAGTTGGGGACCAGTGGGGAGAAGCTGAAGGGTTCAAGAACGGGGAGCATAAATGAGAACATTGAAAAAGTGACAGAAGTTACTGGTGATGAAAGAGTGATGGCATTTACTGATGATGAGATGGAAATTCCTTTTGAAAGTGTCAAAGGGAGTGATGAACTGCAAGGGACTGAGGAAGGAGTGGGAGTTGAGAGGGGCATCTTGCATGAAGTGAGAGACATTACTGATGAATCTGTTTCTATGGAAAAGAAAGATGTTATAGGTGAAGGTACCAGTGAATGAGGCAGATGAAGGGTTGACACCAAAGAAGGAAATAGAGGCAGACAGGGGAAGTCAGAGGAGAAATTAGAGCCAGACAGAACATTATTGACGCCGAAGGGGTAAAGTTGAGAGAGGAAACGAGAGAGTCTGAGCCTAAAATAAAAGTGAGTGGAAGTGAGTTAGAAGAGCTGCTGGGGCTGAAGGCAGAGGCCAGAATCAAAGGAAACAGAGGAGTATGTGGTTCAGAGAGAAGTGGGAACATATGGAGGAGAAAGAGAGGACGTGGTAACATGTTGACAGAGGAAACTTGGATATTGAGAGAAAAGCTGCGACTGGGGAGCTCATAGGGAAATGTTTGAGAAAAGGATGGAGGATGGGCTAGAAGGATTTAGTCTGACACATGATGGGGTGTATGAGATGGAGGAGAATTGCACCAGAATAAAGGGTAGATTTTGAGGATTGTGGAAGAAGGTGCAGGCTGAAGTAGACAAAATTTCTGAAAGAATGAAGGGCTCCCAAGTGACAAAAGCAGGAGGAGAGGAGATAAGAAAGAAGTGAGGAAAAAACATAAGAAGCCACATGCTATAATGGTGATTGTGTTTATTGGTATGTCCTTCACTATTTCTTTTCCCTTCCCTTCCTTCCTTCCCTCCCTCCCTCCCTCCAACCCTTTCTTCCTTGCCTCCGTCCCTCCCTCGTTCCCTCCCTTCCTTCCTCCCTCCCTTCCTTCCTCCCTCCCTCCCTTCCTTCCTTCCTTCCTTCCTTCCTTCCTTCTTTCCTTGCCTTCCTCCCTCCCTCCCTCCCGACTCTCTTCCCCTCTCCTCCCCTCCCCTCCCCTGTCCTTGCTTTTGGACAGTCTTGCTCTGTGGCCTGGGCTGGAGTGTAGTGGCACAATCTCGGCTCACTGCAATTTCCACCTCCCAGGCTCAGGCAGTTCTACTGCCTCAGCCTCCAAGTAGCTGGGATTACAAGCGCCTGCCACCACACCCGGCTAATTTTTGTATTTTTAGTAGAGATGGGGTTTCACCATGTTGGCCAGCCTGGTCCCAAACTCCTGATCTCAAGTGATCTGCCTGCCTTGGCCTCCGAAAGTGCTGGGATTATAGGCGTCAGCCACCACCTGGTCTACTGTATCCTGTTTTATCAGTGGGGTCTTGTGACCTGTGTCCTGGGAAACTAGGCTTACCCTTGGGAAAGTAGTCCTGCAGAATTCCTATGTCAATATCACCTCTCTTTATTCTTCTGTGTTGCACTCCTACTGCCTGGATCTTAGATATTCCTGTTTCTTGTTTTACTCTCTCGCTTTGGTCAACTGCATCATCTAATAGCTCCTAGAGAAAGTAACTATGGGAGGTAAACTTTGGGATGCTATCTGTCTGAAAATCTTAATTCTTTGTTCATAATTGACTGATAGTTTTGCTAGGTATAGAATTCTAGGCTGGAAATATTTTTCCCTTAGATTTTTGAAGGCATTTCCTCACTATCTTCTTCTTTTTTTCCTTTAAATTTAATTTTTTTTGAGACAGAGTCTCACTGTTACCCATGCAGGAATGCAATGGCATGATCTTGGCTCACTGCAACCTCCACCTCCTGGTTCAAGTGATTCTCAGGCCTCAGACTCCTGAGTAGCTGAGATTACAGCCATGTGCCACCATGCCTGGCTAATTCCCTTACTATCTTCTACCTTCCAAATATTGCTATTTGTAAGTTTTTTTGTTCTTTTAATTCTATAGATAGTGTTTTTCTTCTCTATATAAATTACCTGTTTGCTACTGCTCCCTAACTCAACCTGCATCCTCATCCCATTTTTTTCTGGCTTTACTAGAGGATCTTGGACCCTGAATTATAGCTGTTATCTTTTTTTCTCCTTTTGTCTTCCTCTTCTTGTTCTACTCTCTGGGCAATTTCATCACCTTCAAAACAATTGATATATAATAGATGTACATATTTTGGGGGTACATGTAATATTTCGATACATTCCTATAAGTGTAAAGATCAAATTAGGGCAATTGGAATATCCATCATCTTAAATATTTATCTTTTCTTTATGCCAGGAATATTTGAATCATTCTCTTCTAGCAATTTTGAAACGTACAATAGATTATTGTTAACTACAGTCACCCTACAGATCTATAGACACTAGGTCCCATTTCTTCTATCTAACTGTACATTTCTACTCATTAATTAACATGTGTTTATTTCCTCCATCCTTCCTGGCCTCCAGTAACCACCAATCTCATCTCTTTTTTCATGAGATCCACTTTCAACTTTATTAAGTGTATCTTCCTATCCTTTCTGTTGAAATTTTACATTTTAACTTTCTTGTTCATTGATTGCTTCTTTTCTTATATATAGTATTTCTGTTCTTGTTTCATGAGCCTGTTCTCTTAGCTCTCCAAGGACTTTTCCAGTTTTCAAGTTTTCTTCTACTTTTCTTATTGTTTTCCCTGAGTTTCCCTCTCCTGCTTTCTCCACCCCTCCTTTTTGTGTGTGTGTATATTGTTGGAAGTTTTCCTCAAATGTTTGATCTTTGGCTGTTCATATTTAAGAATGAGGCATTAAGCAGAGGCCATTGGAAGCAAAATGTGCATGGATGGGGCTTATCTATGGCCTTCACTCTGTGGTGACTGGAGCAAGCAGGATTTTTTTACTGGGTACATTCAATATCAGAATCTCTAGATCTCACTGAAGAGACCATCTCATTTCTCCAGAGAATTCTCCAATCTGTCTAGGGGATATCTGCATGGCCACTGCTATAGAGGTTACAGCAGCAGGGTGCAGGGAAAGGATTGTGGAGCCTGGCCAAGTATGTGTTTCTATTACAGGGTTTTTTTTTTTTTTTTTTTGAAACGGAGTTTTGCTCTTGTTACCCAGGCTGGAGTGCAATGGCGTGATCTCGGCTCACCGCAACCTCCGTCTCCCGGGTTCAGGCAATTCTCCTGCCTCAGCCTCCTGAGTAGCTGGGATTACAGGCACGCGCCACCATGCCCAGCTAATTTTTTTTATTTTTTTTTATTTTTATTTTTTTAGTAGAGACGGGGTTTCACCATGTTGACCAGGCTGGTCTCGATCTCTTGGCCTCGTGATCCACCCGCCTCGGCCTCCCAAAGTGCTGGGATTACAGGCTTGAGCCACCGCGCCCGGCCTATTACAGGGTTTTTTGTTTGTTTGTTTGTTTTGAGACTGGGTCTTGCTCTATTCCCCAGGCTGGAGCACAGTGTTGTGATCTCGGCTCACTGAAACCTTTGCCTCCCAGGTTCCAGTGATTCTCCTGCCTCAGCCACCCAAGTAGCTGGGATTATAGGCCTGTGGCTAATTTTTGTATTTTTGGTAGAGACAGGGTTTCACCATGTTGGCCAGGCTGGTCTTGAACTCCTGACCTCAAATGATCCCTCCACTTCTGCTTCCCAAAGT